GACCCACCCCCCACATCCCGCCTGGGCATTGGGCTTCATCTCCACCTGGCCTTCCTCGAGCGGAAGGTTCCGAGCGCCCAGCCACAGCGTCTCCTGGCACTGATTGATCACCTGGCACGGAAAATGTGAGCTTCGACACTGGGAGGCCTTGGGAATGAACAAACAGAATGCTGATTGGATGGTGTAGGGGTTGGTTCCCCATTCTTTTCAACCACAAAAACCAGCCGTTTCCCTAAGTTTTTCATGGCTTCCTGAAAAGAAGGGTTTTGGAGGAGACCTGTTTGGAGCGTGTCAAAAAGGGAAACCAAAAGGAAACTAAAACCATTTCTTGGCCTAGCAGCCGTGGAGTGATGATTTGGTGCCCACCCGAGAACAAACATAGAACCTTGAAGGGGCCCTCTGGAAGACCCTTGGACACTCGTTCAGGTTCCACGTTTTTCGGGAGGGTACTCTGCACTCAAACGGAACGACCAAACTTCCTATAACTTAACAAACTGAAACCTCTAAGATGGGTGGCTTCCCTTTCAGTTCCCTTTCAGCTCCCTTCAAAACCGTCCCAGAAGGGTGGCCTCATATCTGGGCAAATGTTGTGAGGCGCCTTGCAGTGAACTATGAGAATTGGCCCACCTGACAGAAGGGACGCCCAAGAAGCCTTCATCATGGGTAGGGTCACAAACCCCCGTCCTCGGTGAGATCGCATTTGTTTGCCCAGAAATACGTGAAAGTTACACTAGCGGCCATGAGAAAATGACCATGAGAAAAATGAGGGTAATGACCACGGCCGTGGTTTGCAACCACAGTCCACAATTTCTGTCTGGAAGCGATCTGAAGGCGAATTTCCTCTTAACAGAGGCCGCAAAGGTTTCGCCGAGCCTTGGACAGGGGGTTCATTGTAAGCTTCTCAGCAGTCAGGTTCCATGCAAGGGCAGGAAAGATCGTGAAAATTCGGGACCAAGCTAGCGGTTCCTTCAACAATCTATCAACCAACAGGGATCCTTACATTATACACCTGAACATTGGTGGCTTCCCTTTTCTTTCGGCGTTGAAAAAGCCACATGTTTCAAATGGTTGCAACATGTAGATCCTTTTAGGAGCCGGTTCCAAGGGTTCCAAGGCTTGCAGCCACCTCCCTCTCGCGCCTCGCCTTGATCTCCTTGGCAGAACCGCCCAGCAGCACAGCTGCCAGAGTTCTCAACGCCATGGCAACTCCCAGCGGACCCGTTTTTGTTGGTCTTGAGCCAAAGGGCTGCCGAAGGATTCGAAGGTGACCCTGAGACTTCAGGTGCCAGAAGGATGGCAAAGCAAAACCAGATCGACCTGGGATAAGGGAGGTCCCCGTATTTCCAAGTAAGACGTCAACCCAACAAAAGCACAAAAAAAGGTTCGCCCAGAAGGCGACGAGCGAAACCACCAGAAAGGAAATTCTGGACCGGCTGGCCGGCTGGCGCTCCCCTTGCAAGATCTCCAAACCTCGATTCAACTCCGCGGAGTTTGCCCGGAGGGATGCTGAATCCTAATCCTCAATTCCATGATCCGTAGTGAGGCACGACAAGCGAAACCACGACCATCTGGCATAAGGATTCTTGGGCGCCCATGTTTGGAGGTTTGGGGATAGTTTGCCCTCAACAAGAACCAGGGGTTCAAATACCAATCCAAACCTCCAAACCAAACCACCGATCCAAGCCACCGATCCAAACCACCAATTCGCCACCCTGCCCCTCCCCCTCCCAAAAAAAAGAAACACAAAACGAAAACGCTGGATGGGTCCGCTCGATGCTGGGCTCGATCTCCCTCAGGGGTTGCAGGATGAAGCCCACGATGGGGATCTGCAACGCCTACGGGAGACTTGCCGGAGGCCCTGCTCAGGTGGCCATGGGTCAAAAGCCAGAATTCCGTTCCCCCAGTGGTTACGTCCCAATCCAACCACTAAAATAGGTTCAAGAATGGGTGGTGAATTCACCTACCCCAAAATGGGATGCCATTGGTTTTGACAACCACAGCCAGGTTGGTTTGAAGGCAAATTTAAGAGGAGAATGCCAGTCACTGGTGGGTTCACTGCTCTGGGAGGTCAAAAAAAATATGAGGGATTTCTGATAGAGGGGAGGTCAGGGAAACAGGCAATAGTGACTTCGAGGTCCATTGCCAGGCAGGCGATGTCAGCATAAATAGTGGGCTGAACGTCCTAGATGCGAGCCCCGTTTGAACTGTATTCGACGAAACACAACATTTAGCAAGGAAAGAGTACTGGCTTTGACCAACAAGGATAAACTTGGATTTTGACGGCCTCCCCGCAAGAAGTCGACAACGTGTTGTGAACACATAGGGGTGTGATCCGAAAGGGAGGACCACAAACGATCCGAATGGGTTCCTTGATTTAGGTCATGTCGGCAGCGTATGAATATAAGGGCGCAACTTCCCCCAAAGCGATCCGCTCAGCCTCTCTAAAAGAGGCTGAACTTGTAGATCAAGCGGGTTTGCCAAGCATTGAAAGCTGGATCAAATGACCAAACTAACAAAATTCGGCCCCTGGTGGAGGGTCGAGGTGTTGAGTCGTCCTGGATTTCCATCACGCATTTGGCAGGGGTGTGTGTGTGTATATATATATATATGTCTTCCCCTGCCCTGCCCCGAGATCCGAAGCACGCATCTGTTCATGCAAGAGGGGCGCTCCGGAAGTTGCGTGCGCAGCTGGCGCTGCGAATTGCAAAAAGGCACTGTACTGCCAAGGCGGCAGCCACAAAAACTGCTGCAGCAGACGCACAATGGAAGTGCAAAACAGAGGAGGCAGGGTGGCGGTGGCTAGCTTGAGACTGAAGGAGGGGCATCAAAGGCATGCCAGGATATGTCTTCCCCTGCCCTGCCCCGAGATCCGAAGCACGCATCTTTTCATGCAAGAGGGGCGCTCCGGAAGTTGCGTGCGCAGCTGGCGACTGTACTGCACAAAAGCAAGGCACTGCGCAAGGTGCACTCACTGACTGACTGCTGCAGCAGACGCGCAATGGAAGTGCAAAACAACCAAACCCACCCAAGGTGTGTGGTGGTGGACAGGCGAAGCCACAGCCACGCAAGGAGCTGTCATGCTGCCACTTGGCCTTGTGGAAGACGCAGGCAGCAATCGTGGAAATGCCGGTACCACGCATTGCAGAAAGGAAATGCGAAAGGTGAGTGACTGGCGCAGCTTGTACATCGGAGAAATTTGGAAGCACCTCTCGAACGGCAAAGTCCAACTGATAGAGTACTTCATCCAGCAGTTCTTCAAGCAACATCACAAGGAAATGGGTTTGGCCAAGAAACCCGTTATGGATGGTTTGCAGAGGCACCGGACCACAAAAACCAAAAGCAGCACCCGGCAGGCAGTGGATCCGGCCCAGGTCCCAAGCATTTTGCGCCCGTAGGCCTTGGCATCAAGCATGAACCAAGCAGAGCGCGCAGGTCCAGCGACGCATCGCACCGGGACACAGGGCAAGGGATCTTCTTGCTGCTCAAGTTCTTTCATGGCCACAAAGGCCCTGGCAAACTTTTGGAACCTTGCATCTGCTGGGTACCTTTTTGCGGCGCGCTTCAATTGCTTGTCTGAAACTTGTTTGCAGACGCGCCACGACAAAGCCCCTGCAGAGATTGTAAAAGTCTCCATGCTTATCCACCCAGCTCTGCACAGGCTTGACACCACTGAGCTAGGGCGGGACTTGAGCTCTTGGATTCTTTCGGCAACAGGGGCAAGCAGCACTCACAACCTTCCACCAGCACTAGGTTGACACAAAGGGGGCCAAGTTTCTTTAGCCTGTTTTCTGTCTTTTCGACACAATTGGCTTGTCCTGTAGCAAGCTTTGCAGAATCATGTTTCCTGCGCATCAAACTGCGATTCTTGCCCCAGTTCAGCTTCTTAATGTAGTCCGTCAGACTGTAAGCCGCTTCCGTGCTGACACCCAGAGTTTCTTCGTGTCTGCGAACGTGCCTAAGCGGCTTTTGCTTCATGCGGCTGCGCTCTTTCCGGTGGTCCCGCATGGCCGTGCCCGCACCACGAGGTCTGTCCTTCCCGCTCGAGCTGTCCTCCTCGCTTGAAGCATCTTCGCTGCGGCTGCTGTCTGCTTCGGCCCTCGGTGCGTCGGGAGCCTTTGCCTTTCAGCGTCTTCAAGATCTCCAAGGACACTAGAGCATTCAGATCGATGTTGCCTTGCCCCTGGGACATAACCTGCTCCAGCAGCGGCGCATCGCTTTTCTTCGTGGCTTTGGGCTTCAACAGCGGATATTGCCCCTTTCCCGTCCTTTTTTATGGGGATATCCTTGCTTCCCCTGCTTCCTCCTCCGGTACCATCGCCCACTCTTGTGGGCTTTCAACAGCAAGCAGGTTCAACACAGGATCGTCTCCGCTGCCATCCTCGTCCTCTTCCGAGCTGCTCTCAGATGCCACCGGCCGCTTCTGATCGAAATCCTCCGAAGCAGTGATGTAGCGCAGGTCCTCCGCTTCTAACGCCTCTTGGCCCTTTTTTAGCAAAGCCTCCACTTCCACCTCCAGGGCCCGATGTGGCGCGGCGCAGCTCGGCCGCACTTGAGTTTGTGTGCCTTCCACCAGCACAAAACCCAAGCTGCTCACCACAAACAAGCTCTCGATCCAGTTCTTCTCCAGCTCCTCGGACGTGACCCTGACCGCAAGGATCAGCTTCTCTGACTTGCGACTGGCTTGCAAAACCACGGCTTGCCTCCATGCAGGAAACTTGTCCAACTTGACGTAGACCAAGTCCTGCTGCTGGCAGCTGGTCCCACTTCTCAGGTCCATGTGTAGAGGCTGCTCGCCAGCTCCCAGGGCAGACAGTGCGACCAGGCCCCAAGACGCACTGATCATCCCTCGGAAGCGAATGCCCTCGAAGACAAACTGAAAAGGTGATTGGCCTGCAGAATGGATTCGTAGGCCATGCAAAGGATTTGTCTCATCTAGCTTGAGACTGATTGCAAGGCATCAAAGACATGCCAGGAAAATCTAGCCATGTGGCTGCCGGCTCTCACTTTATGATGAGCTGCACCTCGTCGGCGTTCAGCTCCGTCTCGCCATCAGCATCCACCTTGAAGAGGATGCCATCGAACTCAAAGACTTCAGAGCCTCAGGCAGGGGAAAGAAAGACCGGGCAAAGAACGGCCGACAAACATGAACTTCAAGAAAACGCTCCTTCTTTAAAGAAGATCATCGAACACCAGGCCAAGGAGCCGTTGGGAAGTTGACAGACCTTCGTGGGCCATGAAGCAGGCCCAGAGGGGGCACTTGGCCCCGGAATATGGCTCCATTGCTGGAGGGCCCACAAAACTTCGCGGGGAAGTACTCCATGAAAGGCAGTGGCAAACATAAGTGAGTCTGCCGAAGCGAATGATCTAACAATTTGCTAGGCCAGCCAAAAACTGCAGTATGCTGCTTTTGCTTTCCAGGTGCATGTGCTGCATGTAATGCATGACAGTTGCTCCTGCCAGATTGGCCCTGCATCTCAGATGGTTGGACAAGCAGAAGGTTGGCCCTGCATAGCAGATGGTTGGACCTGCTGGGCGTGGATCATGGGGGGGGCGAGCATATATATATATATAGATATATATATATATATATATGCAGTGGTGCACGGGCGCAGTTGAACGGGTGTGCTGGTATTTGGCAGGCGAGTGTGTGCAAAGGCAAACTGCAACGTGGCAGTCGGGTCAAAAGCCAAAAATCCGTACCCCCAGTGGTTACGTCCCAATCCAACCACTAAAATAGGTTCAAGAATGGGTGGTGAATTCACCTACCCCAAAATGGGATCCCATTGGTTCTGACCACCACCGCCATGTACCAAAATCAACTTCCATGGGTCCGCTGGGTGCGTGAGCCAGACCTGCCCAACCAGGAAGCGCCTTCCAAACCCCAGACTCTCTTGTGGATGCCGAAACGGGATCTGCTTTTAAAAGGAAACACACCTTTTGATTGGATGCCTCTTGGATGCTTCCGGGATACTTTCTGGATGCGTCTTGGGTGCTTCTTGGATGCTTCTTGGGTGCTGTTCATGCTCTTCACCCATTGGAGAAAAAGCCTCAGCTCCACCCTGCCGAAGCCTCCGAGATGATCATGGCCACGTGGATCAGTAGGAAGCCGAAGACGATGAAGGTGGGCCGCTCCTGACCCGACATCGACCGGAACTGGGGTAAGAAACTAGACCTGAGTCACAATCAAAACCCGGTATTAAAATGGCTGACCCAGAATCATATAAGGAAATACAAAGGCGGCCGCAACTATGTATGGCTGGGATTGTCCCTGATTAACCTTCATCTACCCGGGTTTTGATTCTGGCACACCTGAAAAGAAAAGAAGGGAAACCAAACTGCGAAAGGGTTTGAAACAGTATTTCGGGAGAGAATAAACAGGCCCAATCCCACCAACAAGAAGAGATTGTTTAAGTCCCCCAGTCCCAAGGGCAAAGCGGTGCCCTCGGCTGGCCAAACACGAACCAAAACAGGGTGCCAGTTGTAACAAGGTAAGAAACCCAGCAAGGGCAGAAACAACCGAAAGCAAGCACAAAGCAGCAAACCAAGCAGGCAAACAAAGCAGCGCAGCGAGCGAGCAAAGCAAACCAATAGCGCAACCCCCCAAATTGGCCTCGACCCGGACCCGCCGTAGAACGGCACCGCCGGCTGCCGGCCGCCTCTTTTGCAGGAGGCAGACGGTGCTCAGCGCCGCACCGCTATGGCGACGGTCACGGCAAAACCTAAATGCCGGAGGTAAAACTTGAGCCAAACGGCGCGTTGGCCGTGGCGTTGAAACATGTTGCGATAAAACTACATGCCCCCAAAAACACCCCCCTCGCCTGTACAAAGAGATGGAGTGAATTTGGAAAGGCGCATTGGCCATGTTGAAGTTGAAATGCAAATAAAAAGAAAACAAAGCCGATTAGGCTACCAGGGTTCGCGACCCCATACCCGGGCACTCATTGGTGCCCGGATCCCGCCACCACCCCGAATTACGGGTATGGGGCGGATTCGCGCCGGTAGCCAAATCAAACAAGAGAAAGCAAAAAGAAACAGAAACAAAGAGATTCAACTCCAGAATGGCAGGCATGAAATAAAATTACATTTGCAATGCAACCACAACGAACCGCAAGGTTCAAGTGGATTTAGTTCCTGAATTCATGATTTAGGCGCATTGGCCTGCTGGTTGAAACATGGTGCTTTGACCACAAGACCTTGGTCTTTAAAGTAGCACCGTCTAGGCGCGCGATCACACAAAGACCTTCAGTAGGAACACCACCAGCTGCAATCAGCGGTCCAGATCCGAGTAGGACTTCACCGGCAGCGGTGCAGCGCATCCGTGATCCTCACCGCAGCACCTTGATGAGTTCCATCTCCAGCAGCAGCAGCGGTGCTGGACGATGCTGACAACCAGCGGCCGTAGACACCGGCGAGGGTAACTGCCTTGCTGCGGCGACGCACACCTGACAGGTAATCGCCGCCAGCGCGAATAGCGCACAGCTGCGCATGCAGTTGAATTCTGGAATGGCGAATAGCCCAAACATAGAAATACAACAGGGAGCATTGTCCATTATGTGAATTTCGGAATGAAAGCACGCGCGCGTTGGCGCCGCTACGCAAAAGATGCAGACGGACACCAGGTATCACCGATGTCGTCCGCCGCCGTGCCGTCCCCTCCCCTTGTTGAGGTTCCAGTCCCCAGGAGGAGGAGGCACGGTCTCGGCCAACTCATCATCCGCACCCCAGGTAGGGGTATGCGGCGAGTTCGGATTCTCGAACTCGCGTGGATCACCCTGCATGTGCGGCTGCCAACCCTGCTGCATTGTGCCAGGCCACATTTGCGGCATCATGCCAGCCATTGGCTGTTGCATGTACCCTCCCATTGGGAAAGCGGGGTACATCGGACTTGGGAACGGGAAAGGGGCTGCCTGAGCACCCTTGTATCCCGACCCGCGAGCATCAGGCTGATACCCGCCAGTGGGAGTTCTCGATCTGGCGGATCCGCCACGACCGAACTGCCCTTGTTGGTAGCCGTATTGGCCACCCTTGCCTTTGTACTGATCACCTTTGTGACCCTTTCCTGGGAACTGGTCACCCTTGTGACCTCCGCCCTTGGGCCAGGATTGCGCAGGGGCTTTGCCCTTTTGCTGATCACCCTTTGACCTGGATTCAGGTCGCGGGGTAGCAGACCGTTGGTCTCCCCTAGGAGTGGCTGCCCGCCTGTGGTGCTTCCCAACCGGCGGGTCAGCAAAAACAATGGCGCATTGGCCGTCGCGCCGCGAAGCGGGGACCATGTCAACTTTGTTGTCTTCGACATAAATGTATGCCTCAGCATACTCAATTGGGGCCGTGATGGATCCACCACCGGCCCGCAAAGAGTCGATACTCCAATCAAGAACAGTGGAAGCATCGAAAGTCGGATCTTCAGTATTGAAGTCCGTGAGGCGTCGCTCAGCCTGTACCAATGACATTACGACGTCCGCGCGTGAGGCGCCTAGGCCATACAGCGGAACCAAATACCCGTCCTCAATCCCGATGCGATAGGCATCAAAGATATGCACGGAGAGGTAAAGGGCAAATGCTGAATTTAGACTGCCCTTTCTCGTCATATGACGACCCCATTGCGCCGCCTGTTGCGGGTGGTCGATTAAATATGCCATGACAGACATATTGTCGGGAATCGAGACGCCAGTGTTGCTCTCCTCGATGAGCAGCTGCTTCGCTACCCACCGCTCGAGAGCCTCATCACTCGCCCGCACGCAAGCGTGAGTGTCCTTTGAGGTGACCTTTGCAACCTCCTGAAACGCAACTTGCACAATCTCGGAGGTGTTCTCCAGCCGTCGTATCCATTGAGCAGATTCCTGCCCACGATATCATTGAATCGATACGTGCCTAAACCGGCATAGCGGTTGGCAGCCCGAAGAACATTACAAAATCTTTCGACCTTTTCTGTCGCCGCAATGGCGGCAGCCATCTGAGGGTGAATATACCCAGTTTCAATCATGCATCCTGCGGCTTCGCGCAAGCATGACCTCGCACGCCACAGATTCGCGGCGGCCCTGTAAAAATCGCAGTACGCAACGTTCCACGTTGCGTCCTGCGCGCTGAGCTCGTCATCTCCGCTTTGGGAGTCAGGCATAGTGAGCCCCAAACGGATCTCCCGACCGCGGAATACGTCGGCGGAGATCTGGTTCGAGTTCGGCTGATCCTCCATCGGAGGACGGGGAACATATTGTTTCCCTGAGCCGACACTAGACTCATTTGCCGATTCCCGGTTCGGATGCCCTTTCTCGGTCTGCATCTGGTTAAACCGTGCGACCAGGTCCGGCCGAGGGCCAATCGACAATGGCCCGAGGTTTTCCTCAGCCCAATCAGCAAGCGCTTTGGCTCCTGCGTGATGAATGTCATCAGCATTCATCGTGTCAGACAGGATGGCCTTTGACAGGTAATCCCAGTCGTATTCGCCGAAACGACGATCAGTTGCTGAAGCATTGTCCAGCAGCTGGAAAAATTCATCCCCCGACAGGCCTTGCCACAGAGTAAGAGCAAGGGCATCCTCAATGTGGTCAGCCTGATCGGGGTAAAGAAGGCGCCTTGGCCAGGCCCCGTTCCTCCACGCCGCCAACGCTGGCGAGTAACCTGCTCTCCGGAACAGGTAATGCACAACGATGCAAGCATCCGCGCTCTCAGCGGGCGCATAATATTCCGAATCCGGACCAGTTTCATGGTCTCCGGGTTCAGACGGATCATCGTCGCCATCGGGTGGATCGGGCCCACCATCCCCACCAGTCCCGCTCCCATCCATAGGATCGTCGCGGCCCGGGAGCTCATCGGCAGGGGAGGTAGGGGAATCTCCCTCCGCCCCATCGCCGTCCCCATCATTGTCTCCACCCGCAGCGCCTTGGCTGGGTGAAGCCCTTTTGGCCCCGCCTGCATCCGCAGGTTCGGGCTGTACATCCTGACCAACGGGGTTGGATGCTTCGGGATGGGAAGCCATCCCCATCGACGCATCGGTCGACAGGGAGGGAGTGCTGTCTCCTGGTTGAGGATTATCCCCACCAGCGACATCTGGAACACTGCCCCCACGCTTAGGTGGCGGCTCCGCCTGGTTAGGCTTCGCCGGCTCAGACAGACTAGCCGGGGGGCTCTTCACTGCCTTCCGCGGTGGAACCTCGGGCCGAGGGTGCGTGATCTCGCTATTCGCGGGAGCGCATCCCCCCGAACCCCCATCGGTCGGTGCGTCAGCACCTGCCGCTTTAGGCACGGGTGCGCCCGTGACCACAGGTGCTTTGACCTCGGGTCCTTTGGCGCAAGGAGCGGCACCCTTTGGCGGAGGGCCAGAGGCCGAAGACAGGCATGGCATCGATCCTCCCACCTTAGGTGGTGCGCAGCTGGGACCCCTTGCGGCCCCGCCTCTCCATCTGTTAGCGGCTTCGCGCTTGGACAGGGATGGAAAGTCATCGGAGTACGCGTCCTTGGGAAGCTCGGGAGGATCAGGCTTAGCCTTCAACAACTGCTTCCCGGTAGCAGGCTTCAAATCTATTCTGTGGCCGCCTGTTTTAGACGGACCACCAGTCGTGGTCGGGCTATACCCGCACGCCTGCGCTGGCTTTGCAGGTATTGTTCCCCTCTGATTGCCGCAAACAGCCGGCGAGAGACCGCGACTTGCGGCCGACTGGCCGAAATTGGCCATTGCTTGGCCCAGCCTCTGCCTCCCCGTTGCGGGCGGCGTCGAGGACCGGACGCGCTGAGCCATTGTCTGTGGCCCACTTCCCGCGTTGGGGCGAGGAGCAGACTGCTGCTCAGACGCTCTTGCATCGGCCGCGGCAGGCGCTTTGGCCGACGACACACGGCTTGTGGCGCATGGGCCACTCGACATCGTTCTAGGAGCAGAGATTACCTCCGCCCATGGCGCATCCTCAGATGAGGACCACCGGTCGACCGGTGTGAGGCCTGCCCCGACTCCGCACTGCTTCGCAGCGCTCAGATATGACTTCGATGGTTTCATCAGAAGCTCCTGTTCTACCAAGAAATCCAGAGCAAGGGCCAGGGCTTCCCGGACCTCGTCACTCATTGAGTACTCACGCCTCAGCAGACACACCAGGTCGGTGAACGCCGAGACAAGACCCATAAACTGGTGTCCGCCTCTTTCG